GACGCCTGCACCACCAGGGGGGGCCACCTCCAGCCAGGAGGTCCACGATGCCTCCCCAGCTGGACGCTGGGGATGCCTCGAGCGAGAGGGGGGACCACACCACCAGGGATAGCCAGGGCTGGACCTAAACGCTATCTTGCTGGACGTCGGCTGTGTTTTGTTTCTTGTTTTAGGAGGGAGCTACAGGAGAACAATAAGAGCAAAACGAAAAAGCAAAACGACAACAGCACGAGAAACAACGTTTAGGTCCAGCCCTGGGGAGAGCCCCCCTCGCTCCCCGCATCTCTTCGCCCTGGTGGTGCCGGCGTCGCCCTTCCTTGCTCCCATCCCTGCCCCCTCGACGCGGGCAGGCCGTCTGCCTCCCCAGCAGCCCCTGGCTCCCTTGGCGCAGCCCTCCGCCCCCAGACAATCTCGATGTGCCCTTTTCAGCGCGCGGCTCCTCCTCCTCCTCCTCCTCCTCCTCCTCCTCCTCTCCTCCTCTTCCTCCTCCTCCTCCTCCTCCTCCTCCTCCTCCTCCTCTTCCTCCTCCTCCTCCTCCTCCTCCTCCTCCTCCTCCTCCTCCTCCTCCTCCTCAGAGGTCCCGACCCCTCCCCCAGGGTCAGTTGTTCGCCCCGGGCCCGTCTCTCATGGCCCCCAGGCCCGAAGACGGGCCCTGGAGGCCCCGATCCAGGAAAGGCTGCCAGTCCGTGAGCTCCGACGCCGCACCCACACCTCCCTCCACCCCGAGCCGCTTTTTCCCAGGACCTGGGCCAGACACTTTCCGAGCACGATCGGTGTGAAAAAGAGGCACCGCACAGATCTCAGGTGTTTATAGTTCAAGTCGCATCATCGGAGATCTACGGTCGGGGCCCTGAAGGAGGATCCCTTTTCGTTGGGGAGGGGCTCCGTGCTCCTGAATTGTTTCGCAGTTTGCCTGAGGTTTTCCTGAGGCTTTCGATGGGAAGTCAAAGTTTTACGTTTTGGAAAAAAGGGTCCTCGCTCCTTATTCAGGGTTCCTTAGGTCAACGCCCCGACTGTAGGCCCTTGGAGCCATCTCGAGCCATCTTCGACGCTCCAATCGATCGCAGCCCCTCCCCTCCAGGTCCAGGGTAGGGGGGTAGAGAGAGGGGGGTAAGCCCCTCCCCGAAGGTGTGGAAGGAGGGCTAGAAGCGGCATCTCCCTGAACCGCTCACACCTCGAGTAGGAGATCGACTGCAGAACTGAGAACCGAGTTGCCCCCCAGTGCATTTTACGTGGGATCTACCAGAGGACGCGTATAATTATCGCAGGTCTGCGAGCGTTCTACATACCTATACGACCACCCTTCGGGTCATAAGAAGGTTGTGGGAGGGGAGGGGGGGAACCAACATCTGACTCAATCGATCTCACTATCGATCTCACTCAACGGGACACCACGGGAAACCACGGGACACCACGGAACACCACGGGACACCTCGGGACACTTGTCGATCTCACAATCGATCTCATTATCGGTCTCACTCAACGGGACGCCACGGGACACCACGGGACACCTCGGGACACCGCGAGACACCTCTCGATCTCACTATCGGTCTCACTATCGATCTCTTTATCGATCTCACTCAGCGGGACACCATAGGACACCACGGGACACCTCGGGACACCGAATCGATCTCACTATCGATCTCTTTATCGATCTCACTCAGCGGGGCACCATAGGACACCACGGGACACCTCGGGACACCAAATCGATCTCACTATCGATCTCACTGTCGATCTTACTCGACGGGACACCACGGGACACCGCGGGACACCACGGGACACCTGTCGATCTCACTATCGATCTCTTTATCGATCTCACTCAACGGGACACCACGGGACACCACGGGACACCTCGGGACACCACATCGATCCCAGTATTGATCTCACTATCGATCTCACTCAACGGGACACCACGGGACACCACGGGACACCAGGGGATACCACGGGACACCGGCGGGACACCGCGCGGCACCGGCCGCCGGAGGAGTAGCCTTTGGTCCAGCCGCGGCCCAGCCACAGGAGGATTTCGGGACACCCGCGGGACACCAGCGGGACACCGCGCGGCACCGGCCGCCGGAGGAGTAGCCTTTGGTCCAGCCGCGGCCCAGCCACAGGAGGATTTCCTCTCGCCCGCCCGCGTAGCTTCGCCTCGCCCGCACGCACGCACGGCACGCACGACACGAACCCGAAGCCGAAATCGATTTCCTGGTAGGGGGGGTCTCCGTTTCACGTCGATGATGTGTAGAACCCGGCGAGGAAATCCATCTGGCGCAAGCCAATCATGCAGTCGATCCCCTGCTCGAACACCCGGAGGGCCGGTGGGATCCAAGTCGCACCGTCGCAGAGATCTCGGCCCTTTGGGCGCCGCGGCCGCCGCCATGGGGGCCCCCCGGCGGCCGCCGGTCGCGCTGCTGGCGGCCGGCGCGGCCTGCGCGGCCGGCCGCGCGGCGGCCTTCGGCGTGCCCGCCCGGGCCGCGCGCCGCCCTCCGCGGCGGGGCGCTCGGCCCCCACGCGCGGCCGGCCGCGCCGGGCGCGGGCCTCGGGCCGCTGCGGCGCGGGCGGCGGGCGTGGGCGCCGGCCGCGGCGCGGCCGCGGCGGCGGCGGGCGGCGGCCGCGGGAGGCGGCGCGGTCGCGCGGGAGACCTCGCACAGGAGGAGGGAGGGAGGGAGGGAGGGAGGGAGAGGGGAGGGAGGGAGGGAGGGAGGAAGAACGCGGAGGAGGGGGAGTAGGAGGAGAGGAGGAGGAGAGGAGGAGGAGGAGGACCAGTGGAAGCCCAAGAGTCATCAACGACGTTGGAATCAACCCTCCCTCCAAGCTCCCTCCTCACAGGCCCCTACAACGGTTCATTTCCTCTAGGGGAGCTGCCTCGTTCGAAGATGACCATTTGAAGACCCCGACGCATGCCAACGCATTGTTCTCGGGATTCCAACGCCACGGATCAACCTGACTCTTGCGTCCTGACGATCTTGAACCGTGCAAGAACATCATTCCTGGGACTTCAACACCGCGAATCAGCGTAACTGATGCACCCTCATAATCTGGAGTCCGTCTCAAATGCCATTTCTGGTTTGTTGATCATGGGAATCCGTGAGACTCTTTCAAATTGAAAATTGAACTAGCGAATGTGCGCGGCGACAAGGCGAGAGCCACATGTTGAAAAGGAACTGCCCTCAATCCGTGAAGCTCTTGCAATTCTTTACGAAGGAATGCGCGCGGTGCTAAGGCGAGAGACACATTTTGAAAACGACCCGCCCTCAATCCGTGAAATCTCTCGAATTTTTAAGGACGAATGCGCGCGGCGCTAAGGCGAGAGCCACATTTTGAAAACCACCCGCCCTCAATCCGTGAAAGTTTCTCAATTTCTGAAAACGAATGTGCGCGGCGCTGAGGCGAGAGCCACGTGTTGAAAAGGAACCGCCCTCAATCCGTGAAGCTCTTGCAGTTTAGAAAAACGAATGTGCGCGGCGCTACGGCGAGAGCCACATTTTGAAAACGACCCGCCTTCAATCCGTGAAACTTTTGCACTTTTTAAAAGCGTGCGCGGCGCTAGGGCGGGAGCCACATTTTGGAAACGGCCCGCCTTCCATTTGTGAAACTGTGGTCATCTTTTCAGCTTCAGGGTCATAAGTGGTGCGGAAGTCTCAGGCGAAGTGCCCGGCCCGCCCTAAAAACTGGCCTCGGGGTGCGACGGGGAGAAGTTACTCTCCAAATAGGGTTGCCCTATAGGAGTCCTAGCTCATCACAAGTATTGGTAATTCGCCACCCCCATTTTTCCAATGGCACCACCCCTTATTTCCAATGGCACCCCCCTCTCCCCCCCCTTTTGCCAATGGCACCCCCTCTTATTTCCAATGGCCCCCCCAAGCTATTTCCATTGGCGAGTCCTATGGATTCCTATGTATTCCGATGATCTCTATCATCATCAGCATCACACACTCACTTGCACTTGTTTGCCTGCATTTGTGTGCTTGCTCTTGCTTGCCCTTGCTTGCTTGCACTTGATCGCTGGCTCTTGCTTGCTTGTTATTGCTCGCTTGCGCTTGCTTCCGCTTGCTTGCTTCCGCTTGCTTGATTTTGCTCCTCCCGTCCTCCTTTCGTCCTCCTCCCATCCTCCTCTCGTCCTCCTCTTGTCCTCCTCTCCATTTGGAGTCAACGCTGGCTGATATCTATACGGGCAAGGAATGGAGGAGGAGAGGGATGACGATGAGGAGGAGGACGAGGAGGAGGAGGAGGAGGAGAAGGAGAAGGAGAAGTATAATAATACTAATGTGAAAAGAAGAAGGAACATGATAAGGAGAAGGAAAGAAGGAGAAGGAGGAGGAGGAGGAGGAGGAGCAGGAGGAGGAGGAGGCGGAGGCGGAGGCGGAGGCTGAGGAGGAGGCGGAGGCGGAGGCGGAGGCGGAGGCGGAGGCGGAGGCGGAGGCGATGATGATGATGATGATGATGATGATGATGATGATGATGATGATGATGATGATGATGATGATGATGATGATGATGATGATGATGATGATGATGATGATGATGATGATGATGATGATGATGATGATGATGATGATGATGATGATGATGATGATGATGATGATGATGATGATGATGATGATGATGATGATGATGATGATGATGATGATGATGATGATGATGATGATGATGCTGATGATGATGATATGATGATGATGATGATGATGATGATGATGATGATGATGATGATGATGATGATGATGATGATGATGATGATGATGATGATGATGATGATGATGATGTTGCTGATTATGATGATGGTGCTGCTGCTGATGATGATGATGATGATGATGATGATGATGATGATGATGATGAGGAGGAGGAGGAGGAGGAGGAGGAGGAGGAGGAGGAGGAGGAGGAGGAGGAGGCCAGGATTTCTTGGGCCGCGGATTTGAGCACATCGCATCGTCGGATGCCTGGGCGTTTTGGGGAAATCTCATTGCTGGATGTCTGGGGGAGGACTGTCTCAGGAGGCACAAGGGGACATCAACGAGGACCCCCGTGTCTTCCCAAGAGGCCGCCCTCCTCTGCCCCACGCCCTCGCGCGCACGCCGCCAAGGAGGTGGAGGTGGAGGACCGGCCACTCCCCGATGCGCTGTTGCCCATCTCGTTGGGCGTCTTCGCCCAGATGCTGGGGGAGGGCATCGCCATCTCCAGCCTGCCCTACCACATGACGCGGCTCGGGTCGTCGCCGATGATGGTGGGGCTGGCCACCTCCGCCTTCTCCGTGGCGCAGATGGTCTGCTGCCCGCTGCTAGTGCCCATGTCTGGCCGTGTGGGCCGCACCCGGGTGCTCCGCGTCTGCCTCGCCGGCGCCACGGCCTCCAGCCTGCTCATCGCCTTCTCGCGCTCCTCGACCTGGGGGATCATCCTGGGCCGCATGCTGGCTGGCGTGTTCGCGTCCTCGGTGCCGCTGGCGCAGGCTCGGAGGTTGCCACAAAGGGTTCGTTGCGCATTGGTCGTCGCGCATGCGGCCCCGCCCGAGCATCTCGAGAGCAGAAAGGTAGAAGGGCACGGGCTCCCGATGCAAAACAGACCTTCAACGCAGGAGGGTTGGGAATCAGTCTTGACGCTTCGCGCATCCCCACCAGCCCATCCAGAAGCAGGTCGCCAGGCGAGTTGCCTTGATCAGGGAAGTGTAGAAGCATGCAGTGTAACAGCCGCCTTGGAAGTATTTTCTCGGAGGTCTCTAGTAGCCATCTGGGGTTTCTCTCGGTGCCCTCGCGGGGCTACCTGGGGCACGCGTGGGGCCCTCTTGGGGCTCTTTGAGGGGTCTTGGGGCCCTTTGGGGGCTCTTTTGGGGGTCTGAGAGTCCTCTTGAGGCAATCTTGGGCCCACTGTTCAAAAAGGAGGGGGGGGGGGTCCTCAATTCTCTCCCACCCCTCGGAGGCTCAAACATTGCGCCTAGGGACCGTCTCTGGGTGCTCATGGGGCGCTCTGGGGCTCTCTTGGGGCCCTCTTGGGGCCCTCTTGGGTACCTCTTGGGGCTTTCTTGAGCCGTCTTGGAGCCATCTTGAGGCCTCAAGAGCCCATTGGAAGCGAAAAGGCGAGAAGGCAAACAACATTGATCTTCCAACGGCTTTTGAAGGATTGTGGCCTCTTGGGGGGGTCTTTGGAAAGCTCAGAGGGCACTTGAAACCGTGTTGGGACCGTCTTGAGGCCTTTGGGATGTGTGTCGGAGGCTATCTTGAACCATCTTGAGATTACTTCGAGCCATCTCGGAGGCCATCTTCGGCTTTCGGAGGCCCTCTTGGAACCATCTTGGGCCATCTTGGGCGCTCTAACTACCCGCACCCCCCCCTCCCAAGCCCAAGGGAGGGGTATGGGGGAGGGGTCAAGATATTCTCCTAGATAGCAAACCGTCTAGCTCACTCCCACCCGCCCTCCCAACACGTAAGTAACATCTGAGCCTCAGCATTTCCAGCGGTCGTCTTTGGATGGGCAGCTACTGGGAACCCAAACCGACCCCATGTGCGCAACGCGGGGTCGAGGTGCCAAGCGCGCGAAAGGCGCGCCACTCGCGCCAGGCACCTCTGGGGCCCGCGCGTGCCAGGCACGCTTGGTGCGCCAGGTGCGCCACGTGCTCCACGTGCGCCAGGTTTGCATCATGCTCCAGCCGCGCCAGGTGCGTCACGTTCGGGGCACGTACAGAGTGGGTCAGGTGCGCCTGGGCACGTGACAGCACACATCGGGAAGCATGTCGGCCCCCACCGGTCTTGTCGAAAACCAATGCCCATCAGAAATCAATTGACAGTAATCGCGGGGTGGCCGCGCATGATCCAGATTTAGTCGCGAGTTGCATTTTGCATTGTTTTTGACAGGGTGGTGGCCCTGCGCAAAGCAGGCAATATGCTGACATCCCCGCCGTCCCTGCCCAAAATCAACACAACGTGCTCGCGGGCCTCACGAACATGACGCAAGACTTCGCCTCTACATATATGTTGTAGTGTTTTCGACAGGGATGGTGGGATGGGGGGCGCATCAGGTTGATTGCGCATGCTCCGAATTTGGAGGCAGAGTGTGCTTTGTATTGTTTTGGACAGGGTTGGATGGGGGTGATCATAGGTTCGGCATTGTTCCTGGTTGGCTGCCAATCGCCTGGGCGAGGGGATGTAGACGTAACACCCCGCAGATGCGGATACGAGTGATGGGGGCGGCGGGGACGTCGGCCGTCTGCGAGGCTCTTCAGAAGCCCGCCGCAGGCGCATAATTTTGACAAGCTATGCAACGAGCCCGCCGCAGGCGCCGATTTTTTTTTTGTTTTAAGTAATGTAGGTGGGCCGCGGGTTGGGTTGCGGATGGGTCGCGGGTTGGTCGCGGGTGGGTCGCGGGTCGCGGGTGGATCGCGGGTGGGTCGCGTGGCGGGTCGCGGGGTGGGTCGCGGGTGGGTCGCGGGTGGCTCGCGGGTGCGTCGCGGGGTGGATCGCGGGTGGGTCGCGTGGCGGGTCGCGGGGCGGACGACGCCAAACAAGATCAACAACACCAACACCAACGACAACATCAGCAACAACACTAACAAGCACCACCAACACAAATAGCAACACAAATTACAACAACGACGACGACGACACAACAACAACGCCACCACCAACACCAGCAACAGCAACTGCAACAGCAACAGCATCACCACCACCACCACCACCACCACCAACAACAACACTATCAACAACACCAACACCACCACCAACAACACCAACAACAGCAAGAACAATACCACCACCACCATAAATAACGCCAGCAACAACCTCCGTAGCCGTGTTGGCTCAAGGCTCATGGCTGCTATGCTCTAGAGAAGGTTGGATCACATTCTCTGGGGCGGGCAATGGACCATGTCGTGCAGACCATGACTGGAAATGACATCGTGACCCATCCACGGGACGGCGATGCGGAAGCTTCCGTCCCTCTTGATCCGCATCAGTTGGTCTGTGCAGGCGGGCATGTCGAGGATGATCTGGCAGCTGCGTATTGCAAAGCGGAGTATGCATCAGGCGGTCGGTGTTCTTGTTTCTCATTTGGCGGACGTTTTGGCAGTCTTCTCGCAGTGTCTGTCCTGGGCGTGGCCGTTGTTCTCGGCGTGGTAGCTGGCCGCTCGCTCATATCCAGAACCAGTCATTCCAACCCTAGCCTTGGAGTGGCATTGTGCATCGTGGGCCAAATTTCGCGGTTGGAGATTGAGAGCAAGATCCTCAATATAATCGAACCATTGTCAAAGTTAACAAAGGTTGATGTGTTCTTGTCTCTTGAGCTCGGCGGTGACGGGCACTTCTTCAACGCTGCAACATCAGACGTCGAAATTACCCACTGCCCCGGTTCGGATTTGGACGTGGATGGGGTAAAAGCAGCGTTTGCACCGTATTTTAGAGATGGAGCGTTCGAGAACCATTCGAACGTGACTGTCAACCTAAAGAGGTGGCCGAATCTGTATAAAGATTTGCACAACATGTCAGAAGACACACGGAGGTCAACAATTGCCAACAATTTCGGCCAAATGAAACACTTGAATGATTGCGCAGAGCTTACCAAAAAGAGCGAGGAGGCTTCAGGGGGCAAGCTATACGACATCATAGTAAAGGTCCGCGACGACACCATCGCATTGCGTCCTGTGGTGCCGCAGAAGCTCCTATCAATCAGAGAAGTCACCCTCAAGCATTGCTGTTGGTGGGGTGGCGTCAATGATAAAGTGATGGCGCTCCCGCGCGAGTATCTCGAGAAGAGCTTGGGTACCATATATCATTCCATGCTGACCGTTAATAACGAATTCGAGCACCTCGACTTCTTTCTGCATCACTTGTCGCTGTCCAAAAATACGGAGCAGATTGTGTTGTTCACGCTCACCGGAAATAAGGTCCCTTTTCGCGAGAGGACATTCGAGGCAGGGGATCGAGATGGTGACGACTACCTTCCCTTCGTGGACGGCAGGTGTTATGCCAGCGAGACACCTGCAGGCGAGGGGCGCTGGTGCATCGTGTCTCACTGCAAGGACTGCTGGCCGAGCATGCCCTGGACGTACAAAGTCACGTGCGAGCTGGCCGTGACTGGCCTGGAGGCGCCAGTGGCTTCTGACCCCAACGCGTCTTTCGAGCAGACGCTCGCAGATCCCGACCCGGAGCGGGCGTGCACGAGTCCGGTCTACAGATGATGGGCCCGTCGGCTTCTCGGGCTGCCGAGGTGGGCCCGTTTCCCCGTGGCCCTCGCCTGGGCCGGCAGCGGCGGCCCCGCCGCCGGCCAGAGCTGCCAGTCTGCGGCCAGGCCCCGCGCGGGCGGGGCGAACTGGGGGGGGGCAGCTGCTGCACGGAGGCCGCGCGCGTGCTCGGGATCGCGGGGGCCGAGGAGTGCCACTGCCAGCGAGGTGCGCGCGCCGTAAGGGCCATAACGCCTCTGGCTCGCGTCTGCGGCGGCGAGCGCTGCACATTCCCAGGTGGCGCTGTCGCAAAGACGACACACGGCTGGCAGGGTGTTTCGGTGAATTTGTGCATGTTTGCAAATCTTACCTCGAAGTAGAGCGCTACGATGCAAAACAACAGCAAGAGCAGCACCAACAACAACATCACCAACACCAACAGCAACAACAACACCATATACAATACCAATCACAACACCAACAACAATAGCAACACCAACAACACCAGCAGCACCAACAGCACCAACAGCAACAACACCACCACCAACAACAGCAACACCAGCAGCAGCATCAGCATCAGCAGAAACAACAACACCAACAGCAGCACCAACAACAACACACAACGAACAACGAACAACACACAACAACCAAGAAACAGCACACAACAACAACATCAGCAACAACACAAACAACAATAACAGCAGCATCAACAGCAGCAACACCACAACCAACAACAACATCAACAATAATCCGCATGGTGGATTCCCACTTCAGTCACGCACCCAGGGACAGTGAATGACCGTTCGGACCCCTCGCTCTGACTAGTAGAGAACAGTGATAAACGCGTCCCCCGCGCAGGGGAAGGAGGGGTTTCGTCAGAGAGAGAAGAAAAAATGTGCTCAGTCACCTACGCCCAGAGAGCTGATGGGATCATCGCTGATTCCCCCTTGCCCGGTGCACATTGTGGTTTTTCGATTGGAGCGCTCCTCCCGGGGCTCGCACCCAGTTTTCTATCAGGGAGAGTTTTTCTCGTCAAGCTGTGCAGTTGGCCCGCGGCTCTTGAGCCAGACCTCGGCCTCGGCCCCCTGCAGGCGGCCGTGACGGACATAGTGCCGAGTAGCCAGGCGGCCCTCGCCCTCAGCCGTGTCTCCGCCGCCGCCCAGCTCGGGGTGGTCGTGGGGCCCGCCGCCTCGGCCATCCTGCAGGAGACCTTCCGGTGGCCCACCGTGAGCCAAACCGAGATGTGCTCGCGTCGTGGATGCAGTCAACGCGCCCAGCAAGGACGCGCGCCTTCATCCAGGGCGTTCTCGTGTCCTTGCCTCTTCGGCCCGTCCTTTGCCGTTTTCATGGGCCTCTCACTGGGTTGGGGTACCCTTGCGTCCCTGGGGTTTTGGCTGGCTGCTTGCCGCCGAAAGCATCCCAACTTCGGCCTCCAAGGGTCCTGCGTCCTTACCACCCGTCCTCAGTACGCATTTTGCAAGTCTTGATTGCAAATCAGGACGGGCGGTTTTTCAAGACCCCTTTCGGGCCACGATAACAAAACGATTGCATGTTTTGCTTTTGCTATTTCCCAACCATCCTGTGGTGTTGGGTCCTCGTTTTGAAGAGACAGCGCCCGCTCCCGCTCCCGCTCCCGCTCCTCCTCCACCTCCTCCCTCCTCCTCCTCCTCCTCCTCCTCCTCCTCCTCATCCTCATCATCATCATCGTCATCATCAGTATCATCATCATCATCATCATCATCGTAATCGTCATTGTTATCGTCATCATCATCGTCATCGTCATCATCATCATCATCAGCACCATCATGGTCGTCATCATCACCATCGTCGTCATCATCACTATCATCGTCGTCATGATCACCGTCATCATCCTGTGGTGTTGGGTCCTCGGTTTGAAGAGACGGTGCCCTGCGTTCCTCTCCTCTCCTCTCCTCCTCTCCTCTCCTCCTCTCCCTCCTCCCTTCTCCCTCCTCCCTTTCATCATCATCCTCCTCCTCATCATCACCACCACCACCACCACCATCATCATCATCATCATCATCATCATCATCATCATCATCATCATCATCATCATCATCGTCATCGTCATCATCATCATCATCATCATCATCATCATCATCATCATCATCATCATCATCATCATCATCATCATCATCATCATCATCGTCACTCACACTCAATTCGGCACACCCCTCACGCGTTTCGTGGCCCCATGGGGAGCTCCACCGAAGGCCCCAATGCTGCCGCCCGCATGCGTCCCGCACACTCAATTCGGCACACCCCTCACGCGTTTCGTGGCCCCATAGGGAGCTCCACCGAAGGCCCCAGTGCTGCCGCCCGCATGCGTCACGCACATTCAATTCGGCACACCCCTCACGCGTTTCGTGGCCCCATAGGGAGCTCCACCGAAGGCCCCAGTGCTGCCGCCCGCATGCGTCACGCGCAATCAAATCGGCACACCCCTCACGCGTTTCGTGGCCCCATAGGGAGCTCCACCGAAGGCTCCAATGCTGCCGCCCGCATGCGTCACGCACAGTCAATTCGGCACACCCCTCACGCGTTTCGTGGCCCCACAGGGAGCTCCACCGAAGTCCCCGATGCTGCCGCCCGCATGCGTCACGCACACTCAATTCGGCACACCCCTCACACGTTTCGTGGCCCCACAAGGAGCTCCACCGAAGGCCCCAGTGCTGCCGCCCGCATGCGTCACGCACAGTCAATTCGGCACACCCCTCACACGTTTCGTGGCCCCATAGGGAACTCCACCGAAGGCCCCAGTGCTGCCGCCCGCATGCGTCCCGCACACCCAATTCGGCACACCCCTCACACGTTTCGTGGCCACACAGGGAGCTCCACCGAAGGCCCCAGTGCTGCCGCCCGCATGCGTCCCGCACACCCATTTCGGCACACCCCTCACACGCTTCGTGGCCCCATAGGGAGCTCCACCGAGGGCTCCAGTGCTGCCGCCCGCATGCGTCCCGCGCACCCATTTCGGGACATCCCTCACACGTTTCGTGGCCCCATAGGGAGCTCCACCGAAGGCCACAGCGTTGCCGCCCGCATGCGTCACGCACATTCAAATCGGCACACCCCTCACTCGTTTCCTGGCCCCAACACGAATTTCGGCACACCCCTCACACGTTTCGTGGCCCCATAGGGAGCTCCACCGAAGGCCCCAGTGCTGCCGCCCGCATGCGTCCCCACACCCTCGGCACACCCCTCACACGTTTCGTGGCCCCATAGGGAGCCCACCGAAGGCCCCAGTGCTGCCGCCCGCATGCGTCCCCACACCCATTCGGCACACCCCTCACACGTTTCGTGGCCCCATAGGGAGCTCCACCGAAGGCCCCAGTGCTGCCGCCCGCATGCGTCCCGCACACCCATTTCGGCACACCCCTCACACGTTTCGTGGCCCCATAGGGAGCTCCACCGAAGGCCCCATGGCTGCCGTCCGCATGCGCCCCGCACACCCATTTCGGCACACCCCTCACACGTTTCGTGGCCCCACAGGGAGCTCCACCGAAGGCCCCAGTGCTGCCGTCCGCATGCGTCCCGCACACCCATTTCGGCACACCCCTCACACGTTTCGTGGCCCCATAGGGAGCTCCACCGAGGGCTCCAGTGCTGCCGCCCGCATGCGTCCTGCACACCCATTTCGGCACACCCCTCACACGTTTCGTGGCTGCCCGCATGCGTCCCGCGCACCCCTTTCGGCACACCCTTTACACGTTTCGTGACCTTATAGGGAGCTCCACCGAAGGTCCCAGTGAGTGTGCCCGCATGCGCCCCGCAGACCCATTTCGGCACACCCCTCACACGTTTCGTGGCCCCACAGGGAGCTCCACCGAAGGTCCCAGTGCTGCCGCCCGCATGCGTCTCGCACACCCATTTCGGCACACCCCGCACACGCTTCGTGGCCCCATAGGGAGTTCTACGGAAGGCCCCAGTGCTGCGTCACCTGCACCGCGCCCCGCCCAGGGGGGGCACGGGCTCTCGGGCTCTGGGACAGCGGATCCAGGGTGAAAAACTACGTCCGGGGGCGTCGTCGTCGTCCTCCTCCTCCTCCTCCCATCTTGCCACACTCGAGATGCAGAGCTAGTAGTCTTCCATATCAGCTTCGCCCGTCGAGGAGGAGGAGGAGGAGGAGGAGGAGGAGGAGGAGGAGGATGAGGATGATGAGGAGGAGGAGGAGGAGGAGGAGGAGGAGGAGGAGGAGGAGGAGGAGGAGGAGGAGGAGGGGAGGAGGAGGAGGAGGCGGAGGAGGAGAAGGAGGAGGAGGAGGAGGAGGAAGGGGAGTCGGGGGGAAGGGACCAGCCAGCAGGGGGAGGGAAACGAGGTAGGGAAAGTGAGGGACATGCAGAGGGGGAGGAGGGAGGGAAAGGGAGGGAAAGGGAGAGAGGGGGATGAGGGAGGAGGAGGAAGGAAGAGCACGGAAGAAGAGGGAAGAGGAGGAGAAGGAGGAGGAGGAGGAGGAGGAGGAGGGAGGAGGAAGAGGAGGAGGAGGAGGAGGAGGAGGGAGGAGGAGGAGGAGGAGGAGGAGGAGAGCAGGGAGGAGGAGGAGGCAGGAGGAGGAGGAGGAGGCTCGCGTGCTGCCAGCTCGGCTGCAGTCGCGCGAGCTGGAGGCCGTCTTGGGGCCTCGAGGATCGAGGTTCGAGGCTTTTTGCCATTCGGGGGGCCCCCTCGTCACCACGGCTGGACGCGGCCCGGAAAACTGGCCAGCTTGGACCCGGGAGGGGTCCGAGGATTGATTTCCAGCGGGTGTTGGCCCAGGGTGGCGTGAAGGGGGTGGCCTTCCAAGAAGCCAAGGGGGGGCTCTTGGAGGGGCTCGGAGGAACGAGGGGGGGACGACGATGATGATGATGATGATGATGATGATGATGATGATGATGATGATGATGATGATGATGATGATGATGATGATGATGATGATGATGATGATGATGATGATGATGATGATGATGATGATGATGATGATGATGATGATGATGATGATGATGATGATGATGATGATGATGATGATGATGATGATGATGATGATGATGATGAGGATGAGGATGAGGATGAGGATGAGGATGAGGATGATGATGATGATGATGATGATGATGATGATGATGATGATGATGATGATGATGATGATGGTGATGATGATATTGATGATGAGGACGGCGACGACGGCGACGATGATGATGGCTAGGATACGGACTCTGATTATGACGACGGCGGCGAGGAGGAGGAGGAGGAGGAGGAGGAAGGGGAGGAGGGGGGGAGGGAGGAGCCAGCAGGGGGAGGGAGACGAGGGAGGGAAACGGAGGGACATGCAGAGGGTGAGGAGGGAGGGAAAGGGAGGGAAAGGGAGGGTGGGGGTCGAGGGAGGGGGAGGAAGGAGGAGGACGGGAGAAGAGGGAAGAGGAGGAGAAGGCTGAGGAGGGGAAGAAGGAGGCTGAGAAGAGAGGGGGAGGAGGAGGAGGAGGAGGAGGAGGAGGAGGAGGATGAGGGAGAGGGGAGAGGAGGGAGGAGAGAGCAGAGAGGAGGAGGAGGCAGGAGGAGGAGGAGGCTCGCGTGCTGCCAGCTCGGCTGGAGTCCTGGGCTGGAGTCGTGCGGCAGCGACCGCCTCTCGCTCCGGGCTGGAGTCCTCTTGTGCGAGCTTGGGGCTGTCTTGGGGCCTCGAGGATCGAGGTTCGAGGCTTTTTGCCATTCGGGGGGCCCCCTCGTCACCACGGCTGGACGCGGTCCGGACAATTGGCCAGCTTGGACCCAGGAGGGGTCCGAGGATCGATTTCGAGCGGGTGCTGGCCCAGGCTTGCGCGAAGGGGGTGGCCTTCCAAGAAGCCACGGGGGGGGGGTACTGGAGGGGCTAGCAGCGCAGCTAGCAAGGCTTTCCGTAATTAGCCAATTGTGCGCAAGACGGTTTCACCATCAGCTGGCGTTGTTAGTGTTTCTCTGCCAGACGACCGCGCTTCGGGATGAAACGGAGCCTATGGGAACAAGTCCACTGGTTTGATGATGAGGCACCGCCTGATCGGGACCCAACAAATTATCATAAGGTGAAAACGTGCCAAGGTTGTTCGAGATATCGTGCGCGTTGGGAAGATTGCAACGCATGGCATTCCGCGTAGCGACAATCATCTAAAGGTTTCCGAGGAAGAATTACAGCACTTGCTAAGCAAGTGTGTTCGAGCGCCGACATATCTTTATGCGACGCCGTTCTTCTCATCA